GAGCACTGCCTCGACAGCCTTCTTGACGGTCATGTCCCCGACGTGCCCCCTCAGGCAGAAGGCGTCGAGCCACAGATCAACGCCATGCTTCGAGACTACCCGCGACAGATCGGCAATGATCGGTGGCTTGGAGTCCTTCTCAACTCCACGTTGCCAGCGACCCTTGTGTAGCTGCTTCATGTACATCTGCGGATTAAGGGGCATGCTGACGTGACTCGCAGCCCACCGCCGCGCCGCTTGACTGATGGTCTTGCACTTCCATGAGCAAACGACGGGCAGCGAGGGGAGGATCTAGTAAGCAAGTGGAAAGGCAAAGCCTAGTATAGTCTGGGTTGCTTACGGGCATACCATACCGTAAGACTCTGCCCGCCTGCTGTAGCGACAACTTATCGGCAGCTACCGCCAGTCTTCGCCACAACACAAGCCGCCTAGCGACAACTTTTGCAGCTATCGTTGGTCCTCTTTGTGGGCGTGGTGAAGGTGGCTCAAGAAAGGCAAAGCGCGAGGACGCTTGATCAACAAATCTCTTGGAACGAACGGCTGGGCAAGGCAAGACCCCAACTCCCACATGGAAACACGACTACTTGGATATGTTGTTTAAGGCCGCCGTCGTCCAAGGGAAAAACACAGGCCTCACATCGGGCACCAGGCACTAATCAGAGTATGAAAAAGCTTGAATACTCCATCTGTGCCAGGCGAGATTCATCGGCCTTCGACAGGGCAACCGGCCTTCAGTAAGCGGCCGTAAGCAGGGACCTCTACTGTACAATGCTACACTACGACAAGTGGTTGCCCACCTACATACATACGTGGGCGATGCCAGCACCACAGACGCCGAACTACCGTCGACTCACCACCCTGTCCACCGTGCCCTCGGCCGCCTCTTCGCCGGGCGCTACCACTAGCACGCGCCACGATTCCCGCACGGGAATGACCTCGATATCTCCAGCGACACTTCCTCCCGCTCGAGCGAAAACTTCAAGGTTGGCAGGCGCTGCCACGTTCCGCATGACAGCCGCGTCGATCATGTCCACCTGCCAACAGGATAGGCCAGCCGGAGAGACAGACGGTGTTTGGTTGTGCCCAGCAACGGTGAGTGGGGGGGGGTGCACTCATAGTCGTGCATGCCGTAGTCGTTAGACCATTGACCTCGCATCCCTACAAAGCCGGGACGGAGCACGCCGGGTTCTCACCGGACCAGGCTCTCACATCACCAAGCGCGAAGCGCCGTGAGATATTCGGCGAGTCGCATGAAGGGTGCGCTGCATCCTGCTAAGGGTTTTCGGCATCTTGTGCTTACTTCCTTGCGTACGGATGACAGCTGCGTATGAATTAATTTATTTTCTGGTGCTTTCACTTCCAGAGACAGTTGTAAGCACTGTGTAACTGCCTCGAGGGTGCTTGACCATTTTAACACAACGTGGTGCGATCATCCCCCTTGCGCGGAGTGAGGGTTCTCCACCCCGCACAACATGTCCTCGACCACCATTATGGTTACCGCCAAAAAAAAAAACGGAGGTAAAAAACAAACGGTAACCTGGTTGCCGAGTTCACGAAGTGAATTGGCTTGTTTTACAACGTCGTTGCCAAGCAACGAAAACCCAACCCCGATGGCAAACACAACGGGGGAGGCGGTGTGTGTGTGTGTGGGAGTTTCGTGCCATTCCGTTTGGACGGCCGGTTTCTTGCGCTGCGCCCCTGAACATACCGGCGGACAGGTTGTACATGCGGTAGCTATGTGCGGCGGAGGCAACAAGGGCAAACGCATGCTACTCGCGCTCCTGAGAATCCTCCGGCCACGCTATACCCTTGCAGATCCTCCACAGTTCGTTGCACAGCCCCTTCTGCTCCCGAAACAGCCATTTTACAGCATGATGCCCCCCCCCGTCCCGTTCGTTCCAAGCACTTTGGCCTCCTGGACATGACACAGCGCTGAAAACTTGCCGTTATGGGGGTTAACGCTGTCCTACGCACATCAGATGCAGTACGTCTCACCAGCTGGACGGATCGCGGGAGCGCTTGAGCTAGAGAGGCGGCGATGACGCACAGGCGCGTAACACGGATGATTCCGCTCTGCTGGTATAGCTCCACCTTTCAGGAACGAATAATGTAAACGGGAGCAACGCAATCAGCAACTGATTGGTGTGACGTCGAAATAGCTTGCCCGAAACCACAAAAAAAACTGACGAGTACATATGATGAAGGGGTAACAGCGCTATCACAGGAGAGCGGAGGCTCCGTGCGTCGGACCATGCACCACTGTAAAATGTAGCGGCTGTCTTGACACGCCTCGTCGGACACCAGCTCGACAAATACCTCGCGTTGCGTTGGAGATGGTGCCGACACATCGGCGTGCACAGGATAAAAGGACATGGCATAGCGCAGGGACCAAACTGCCACCACAAAACCCGTAGTAGGGCGGGGATTCGTCGACAAAAACCACCTCTGCATTAGCACCGTTATCGGCACACTTTCGTGCGGCTCACCTTTGCCCCTCGCCTTTTTACCGTGCGGATCCATCCGGTGCTCGCGAGCTGTTTCAGGTTACGTTGTCCGAGCCGCAGAGATATCTGTTCGTGGTCTGCATTGTTGTCTGGCCCGACAACCAGGCGATCCAGGGCGGCCTGGACACTGTCGTGGAGCCCCCACAGCTGCGCAACCTTAACGCTGTCACCGGCCGCCTCCACGCTAGGAGGAGCAAAGCTTTGAGGGAGGCCGTCATGTCGGTGCCGCGCCCCGCTGAGGCCGACATCGGCACCATCGCCTGATGACGGCGGCGACGACGGCTGGGCCTTCAAGCAATTCGCCTTGACGCTAGCAGCCACGATGCCGTAGACGGCAGATAGCGCACCCAGCCGCTTGTCCGATGGATACGGCACACCGGCCGAGAGCACCAGGCGCGACGTCCCGCTCTCTGCGGGGCGCGTGGGAATCCTCACCTGCACCAGCGAAAAGCTAGCCGGCTGAATGGTGAGTGCAGGCGGAAAAGAGAGGTGTAGCGGAGAGGTCTGTCACTGTTGCGTTATTGGTCTTGCTCACAGGGCTCCAAACAGGCTTACCGGCGAAACATTTCCAGTGCTCTTTTACGCTTCCATGTTCTAGGCCGTTTCTTCAGCTATCGGAAGCTCCCGTCAGCTCGAGGAATACCCTCACGGCGTTGTGTTTGGAGCCATTATAGCTGCACTCTCGATGCGCCTGGCTCTTATCAACTGCTATAAGGCCTGCAAGAGTCCTGTGTCGACAGTTTCGATCGACCCCACCTGCCACGGCCCTTCCCGGCAGACTCGGATGCCATGCTCCAGGTAATCCACTGTTCTGCTGGCGGCGCGATCACTACGCCCCCACCAACACTTCACGACGCTCTCGGCCTCATCAACGGCGATATCGACTTCTCCGAACACGTTCTGGAAGAACTCGACAAATCGAGAGACCTTGTCCTGTGAGCAGAGTAGGCCCATCGCGAAGAAGTTCGTGAGACTCTGCGGCAGGATGGAAAGCTTGGAACGATGGGTTCAACCGACGTCTTCAAATCGATCGGGCGGGGGAAGAACAGAGTAGTCTAGAGCGGCGATCGAGTCTAACGGGGGAAAATGTACCACACTAAATAGTGCAACCTTCTTGCCGCGGATCGTTTGATGTGTGCAGCAGCCCCCGACACGCCAGCTTCAAGTTGGTAAGACCTCATGTCGAAGCCTTCACTACCGAACCCCAGTTACAGGACTGCGAGCACGTTTGGACGCGCTACGCCGTTGCTCGTACTGTGCCTGGCGTGTCGGCATCAACCCACCCATATCACCCTGTTGGAGCTTCGCACGGCCGAGACTGCTGTTGGAGGTCTGTCCAATGTCTAATCCATGCAAGGACAGGGTGCAAGACCTACTGCACTCACCAGNCGGAACCGGAGTCGGAGCTCCGAACGCACCGGCAGTGGTGGGAGAGGTTTTTGTTGCTGTTCCGGAGCTGCTGATTTTGCCCGAGCCCCATACACTGGATGGCGGCCGAGATGGCGGCCTGCCGGCTGTTCCAAACGAGAATGGCGGAACACCACCAGCACCAACACCATCGCAACCACTTCTCCCACCACTCACATGACCGGCAGTAGCTATAGCAGCAGCAGCAGCTCCAGCAGCGGCGGGGGAGGGAGCGGCACCAGATGAAGTACCGGCAGCACCGCCCCCTGTCCCCGCCGGTAGCTCCACCGATGTCGGCGTCAACATTTTCGGTTCCGCTCCCGCAAGAACCGGAGCTCCGAAAACACCCCTAGTGGCGGGAGAGGCGCCGGCAGCTATTGCAAAGTTGCCGAAGCTCTCCATGTTCCATGCCCTCGCCGGAGGGCCAGAGGCTATCGTCCCGAACGAGAATTTCGGAAAAGTACCAATACCGTCGCCGCAGCTACCGCTACCAACACCCACGTGTCCGGCAGGACCAGGCGTATGCCTTGTTCTAGCCGGGGACGCTGCCGACGACTGCGCCGACGTCTTCGACCCGGCTGCCGCCACAGCTGGAGCTCCGAAAAGGCCCCTAGTGGCGGGAG